GTGAGTTTCGAGTCTCCAGTACTAGTAATCGAGTGATGTACATAGTGATACAGTAGCAGGGAACATGTTCCTGCACGCGGGCGGAGGGAACATCATATCCACATACATAATCCTTGCTTCCAACGCATGCGTACTCCTCATCGGTATACATACGACTGACCAACTCAAAAAGGTAAAACTAGCACTGAAATTACCATGAACTGTGGAAAGTTCCGTCTAGGCTAGGGTCTCCTAGTCTAGATGTAGATTACGTGAACTGGAAACAAACGGGTATCTCTCAACTCGATCAACAACTCCATACTAGGAGGATCCAGTATGCTGTGCAATTTTTTTTTTTTTTTGAGTTGGAGAGTGTGCTGTTCATGACACGTGGGCCAAGCCTACTTAATTCCGGCTTCACCGGATCCATGCTACTAGTATACTTAATTAATCTCCCTACCGTCCTCTAATTAATTAACTCATCTCATACAGTGACCAGATCTCAGAGCAGCTATTAAAACTTAAAACTAAGGGGTGTTTGTTTTGAGGGACTTTTTGTGTAGGGACTAGAAAAAGTCTCTCTTAGAGACTTTTTTATCAAACGGAAGGGACTTTTTAGGGACTAAATTAGACATTTGAGATTAAATGAAGAAGACTCTTAAGAAGAGTCTTTTTGGGACTTTTTGGGACTTTTTGGAACTTTTTTAACAATGCCCCTTTATGTACCCATTGGCCCGCCACCCTATGATGTTGTTTGATTATTATTTTTCTATATACTAGAGGCAACATGGTCATTTAATAACTTCTAGGAAGGGACTAGGACTAGAGAACCAAACACCACCTAAGCATCACATCACCTCCTCTCTCTCTCTCTGTGTGAGTTTTTTACTCTACGTAAAAAGGTATTTTAGGAGCATTTCACAATGTTATTTATGTTATCTATCCGATATTGTACATCTTGATACATTCTTATACTGATTTTGTCAAACTTTAAAATAGTGTTTGACTAACGGGATTATAGAATGATATGTACTCCCTCCTTCCATCTATATAGGGCATAATGCGTTTTTCAAGACCGCCTTTGACTATTGACAAGATTAACAGTACATGACATGCATAATGTGAAAATTATATCATTGAAATCTCATTTCACATATGAATTTGATGATGTGTTTTGTGTAAGTTGCATGTCATATATCATTGCTCTAACATTTGGTCAAAGTTAGTCTCGAAAAACGCATTAGGCCCTATATAGATGGAAGGAGGGAGTAGCATCATGAGCTGAACATTATATGAAACTCGCATTTCAGTCTTGGCTGGAATTATTTGACAAATAAATCCTTTCATGTTCGTCCTCCGCCTCCTTGGCCTTATTACAAATAGCGTTCATCATATGGCTTTTGATGCTTCAGTGTTGAAGATACAACCATGTAAAGCTACCTGACTGCATACTATTCCTTAATTTACTAGAGCAAGTATAATAAGATGATATAAATGGACTATAAAGATTTAAATGCACCCTTCGATCAGCTGGCTATATGATGTTGACATGTTATCTATAGTCAAGCTTATAGCCGACAAGTATAATAGTTAGATGTAAATAACTACTACTTTATTGATACATGACCCACCTTCTTCTCTCACAAAGTGTCTATGATCACGTGCTACAGCTGGCTGTTAGTTAGTAGCCCGCTTCCTCTCTCTCCTCTCCTCTCTCTTCCAACTCAACACAAATATCCCCGCAAAAAAACAACTCAACACAAATATACTATTTTAAGTCTTGCAGCCCGCCTACGTCACCGCATTATCTTGCCTTAAGGTGATATAAGCGGGTTATAAGGATTTAAATACTCCCTTCAACCCATCATAATTGTAGCTGATTTAGTACGATACTAAATCAACGACAATTGATATAGATAGGAGGGAGTAGTATATTTTTGTTGAGCTGTAAGAGAGAGAAGAGAAGTGGATCGTAAATTAATAAGCGGCTGTAGACTTTATGAGATTTTGAGGTGCACCATATATTAATAAAATGATATCTATTTGCAGTTAACGACTATATATGTTCGCTATAAGATTGACTATATATGATATGACAAAAACATATAGCAAATAACTAGCTATAGTATTAACCATGCTTTTAGGATTCAAAAATTTACACCGACACGCTCTTCGTTCCATCCTGTCAATGACTGGTTAGCTGGTTGGTCACCCATGCCGGCAAAGCAAGGCATACACAGACATGCACACGTGCTACCCCTTGACCAAATTAAAATTTGTGAAAAGATTTTTTTTTCTAAGCAAACCACCATTTGGAAAGTGATTGGTACGTTTTGTTGCTTCGACAGTCATGGTACTCTATATAAAATGATGATGTTTCACAATAGTTCTTCTCCTTTCATTTCAATTTGCATATTAGAAAATTTATGCATTTCAAGGTCGAGTACAAAAGGTATTGGTTAGTCTTCACGTGCAAAGATTGGATGCCAAAGTAAAAAAGAAAAACTTTTCCTGTTGCGATTGCTTCCCCCCAAAATGTTAATATGTAGAACATGGACATTTGCCCTACATTTATGTATTTGGTAGAACTATTAGACAATGGCGCCTTACAATTTTAGTGTTCATTGCGAAAGGGTTTGAGATGGGGAGCTCTCGAGTTTGCTCGGACTTTGAGTGAACATGAACATTTGATTTCCGTTTATGCATATTTCTATAATTACTAGGAAGATTTGTGTTTTTATTGACGTATTAGACATGTTTAAGTACTATCATTTTTAAACAACTTATTAGTATTCACCGTGGAAGCTCTTGAGTTTGCCGGGGCTCGCATGGTACACTCATCACCATGGTTACCACTGTACTTCATTCGTTTGGGTGTATAGGGCGTGCGAGTAGTTCTAGGTCATCGATTTGACTACCTAAATATGTGTTATAATCCTAGCGGTACATTTTAACTACTTCCTTTACTTGGGTTTACAAGTCGGGCATAGGTCTTTAGGTCTTTGATTTCACTAATAAAACATGTATAATATGACACAAAAATTATATGTTAGAAACTTTATTTGACGATGAAACTAAAATAGATATGTTTTTTACAAAACATTATACATATTTCCCTGGTCAAATTGAAGACCTAAAAATCGTGTCCGCTTTATAAACCCAACTGAAGCAAGTGTGCATGGAGACCCGCTAAATCTAGTCATGGCACGTGAAGCACTTCTGATCCCTATGACATCCTGTGCATGCCCCCTTGCATCTAGTGCAATAAGCAGGATCTATGTCCTTGCTTCCCACCCTACTCTCTCTCTCTCTCTCTCTCTCTCATGTGTGTCTCATTTTGAAAATTCATAATAGTAAGCAGGTTTGATCCCATGACTTTTCAAGAAGAAACGCACCTTAAATCAGTTCCTGGCCCTTTTAGTTAGTTTACATATGACAACCAACTTATCAGATGTTATTCTTTCATATAAGAATGTAATCCTATGTAGGCTTAACTAAGCAATACTTCCTGCTTAGGGCAGTGAGACATTGGATAATTCATTTCGCCGGATTTTTAACAAGAAGTGAGTTGAAGAAGCTTAAAAAGTCTTATTACTTCCAACAATGGGAAGCGAGAGGTGAAGAAAGTACTTTTGTCATAGTTGTGACTTGGCGGTACTATTTTTGTTTTCGCAAATTTGCTTGTTCATGTATGTATTACTACTGGTCTATTGCCACATCTTGCTTCTCTTAATCCCAGTGAGCTCTTTTTATATGGAACAAACTATATCCTCTTGCTCTCCGTGTGTCCTCAAAAATCCCATGTGGCAAGAGAAGAAAAGAGAAGAAGCATGACATGGCCATGCCTTATGGAATTTTTTTCTTTTTTTTTTTAGATTAATATAGAACTACAAACATGAAGATGCATTCCTTAGCTCAAGAGTGTTTTGTACAACGCTGCAGGG